TAGAGAATAAAATGAAATAAAATGTCCCTTAATTGTTTAAGAAAACATGTTATGACCATGAAATATTGAACAGAGTTCTGTTCTTTAAAGGAGGCCTTCCGTGGTCAAGTTCAAAGGCAGGTGGAACGTTTATTCCACCCAGGGTGACCACTACATGTATATATGTCATCTGGTTTAACATTACAACTAATATTTTTATAGATAAAGCAACGTTACTTACTGTCCCAGGGTCTGAGAAATACCCAACCTCATTCCACGTTACAATAAAGATCCATTTAGCATCAAATTGGAGATCTGGGAAGTACTCATTGATGTCCTGTGTAATTTGGTAGAGCAAATGGCCGCTGGTGTATTGACCATAATATATGTCACCGTTGACAACATTGTTTAAATTTGTCCAAAACGGAGCAATGATGTCTCTGGTTCCATTCATTGGAAATTGTTGAGGTACTGAACTAGACCATGGCGCCTTAAACGTCATGTGTCCATTGTTGTTCACCTAGAAATGAAAATGAATGCTTTTATTCTGTCAGTTTAAATGTTTATTTTTAATTTAAAAATGTGAAAATGATTCAAGGATAAACATGAAGTAAACATACATAAATCTGAGAGTAAGGCTGTCCAAAATAAATAAAGGAGTCCAGGAGTTGAATTTGTGGAGAACTTCCATCATCTAATCGAGAGCTTGTTGTTCCAACAATTTCATAGAGAGGTTCTATAAAATAACGAAAAACATAACTTAAACATGATATTATTAACCAAGTTTCAGCCAATAGCTTTTTATATTCAGAAGCATTGTTGTATAGAACATTATTGGTTTGCTACAGTTTAAGAAATGTTGCATGAAAAGGGAGACATTTAGTCTCTTGAGGGAGGTCTGGTTCTCCTCCAAGTGGTACCTTGAAAACCACCAAAGGTGGCACCCAAAAATCATTCGGTCTGAACAAGATTAACTGACTGTGAAGAAAGTTTCACTTTGAATTCCTCTCAAATGATGGAGATCCTCAACTCATCTCTAAATCTGAGTCCAACCATCTCCATAAAAGCAATTCATGTTCGCTGCTAGTGTTTACAATTATGTTCAATTTGATGTATGAAGTATTTGGTCATGAAATATGAATGACCAAATGGTCATGATTCATACTGCATAATCAAGGGTGAGTGTCAGAATGTAGTTAAGACTGGTAAATTGAGAGCATTACTTTTAACTAGCTTTCCTTCCCACTACAGACAAGAGTAACAATCCTAATGCAAACAAGGCCCCAATATATATCATGGCCCATCCAACCATAACTTATGGGCAAGATTTTTTTCCTGAAGAGGCTGAGAAGTTGGAACACACAGTCAGTTTCCCCTTTTTCTTTAAAAAAATGTGTCCCACCGCCCTATTTTGCCACCCCACGGGAGTGGTCCCAGCAGGGGCGTGGTGGCAGTAGGGACGTTCGGGAGGATTCCCGAATGGCCGATCAGTTTCAGGCCGAATCGGCCGGTATGTTTGTTTTGTTTTCATCAACCCAGTAAAACGCTGCTGCRGCTCAGCAGCCACGTGGGCGGTGTAATAGTTAAACGTTCAATGTGATCAGGAGCAGGCGGGCCCAATTTGAAACAGAAGGTGAAAGGAGAGCAGGTAAAATTAACAAACATGTTGTAAAGAAAGGAGAAAGAGATGGTTGGAGCAGTGAAGTTAAAGGGAAAAACAAGAAAAGTTTAGTGCAAAATGCAGCCAAATGCACCAAATTAACAGAACCTTTCCATGATGGAGGGACCAAAGTCAGAGAAGCAGTGATGACACAGGCCCGAGCAGCAGGAGTACAGGTTAGCAAACACTACAGCCTACTTGTTTCTATCATACAGATGTGTTCCAGTGGTGGGCAGCGCTAATTCAAAAGTTAAAAGGAAAAAAATTGTATAGGTCCTCTGGACGGGTTCTTCTTTAATGAAACGTTTCGTCTCTCCTCCAAGAGACTTCTTCAGTCTGAGTTTCAGGCAAAATTCAGGCTTTTAAGCACTGCCTCCATGTGACTGATACTCACATCACATGGCTATCGTTCACACCTAATTAACACTTATTGTTAACAGGGGTGGAGTGATACTGCCAATGGCAGCGCTGTAGGAGGGGGACAAATGAAAACGGAGGCCTCCACCTCTGTTTAATGATGGACGGTCTTTCTTCACAAAAATGGCTTCTTTTACTCCTCTCTCAAACCAACGTTCCTCTCTATCAAGAATGAGAACATCCTCATCTCTGAAAGAGTGACCGCTGGCCTGTAAATGAGTGAAAACTGCAGAGTTCTGGCCATTAGATGTAGCTCGTCTGTGTTGGGACATTCTTTTGAACAGTGGCTGCTTTGTTTCCCCGATGTATAACTGGTCGCAGTCCTCCTGGCACTTAACAGCATATACAACATTGCTCTATTTGTGCCTGGGCACCAGATCTTTGGGGTGAACCAGCCTTTGCCATAATGTGTTTTGGGGTTTGAAAGCTACTGGGACATCATGTTTAGAAAATAAACGTCTCAGTTTATTCCAGAGGACCTATACAATTTTTTTTCCTTTTGATTTTTTACCTGGATCACTGAGATGCATCAGGACAATTCAAAAGTTACTTCCGCAAATTCTAAACCGCTTTTTATTTTCTTAAATTCCGCATGTTCTTAAGCACACATGTCATAAAGATCCGCAAAATTGGCTCAGTTCAACAGAATGTGTATTTCCAGTAATAACATGAGCCATTCTTTCACAATACTGCCATCTAGTGGCAGAACAAGCTGCTTTCAACCCAACTCACATTTCGTCGCAGTTTCAGGAAGTCATTTATACAAAGAGACGTTTGATTCATGGTGTTAATTTAAAATAAAAAGTTGTTGTGGACTGCAAGTTTTGCTGCTTTTTGGTCATTTATTTTTTTACGTTTGTGGTAGGACTTCGGTAAGAAAGCGTACAATATATTAGTCATTTTAAACTGTTTATTGGAGAGCAGAAGCGATGCATTCTGGATAAAGGACCAAGTGGAACCTGTCTTCATTTCAAAAGAAGAGCCTGAATTTAAACTGTGCCCTGTGTAGCTTCAATACGACGTGACATGAGACAACGGGTTGATGGATGAAGATTCAGCGTGTCATATATTATGAGTTACATATCATGGTCTTACATCATGGTCTTACATCATGGTCTTACCTGGTGATTCTTGATCAACACGAAAAGCCCAGCGGCCAGGTACATTGACGTTACTGTTGAAGCGAAAAACGGAGTAATCGTTTGAAGTATTATTAGTGAAGGATCCAGGGATGCTGCTATGGTGAGTGGAATTCACTGTGTCATATCCAGCCTGAAATTGCCAATAAAAATTTTATATAAAAATACATTGTAACATATTATATTGCTCAACTACTTATTTGTATTGAGAAATTGGGTTGACATAACCAAGTTGGGATATTGTGTAAAATGTTAAAAGAAAAAACAAGAAACAAAAGAAAAAAAATGAAGTAAATTGCAAATCTGATAAAACCTTTTTTTAGTTGTCTTTTCTTTTAATGCCAAGTGTTGAAACTAAGAAATTGTAGAGAAAAAAATGTCTTTTGGAATTTTCAAAATACAGTAGTTGGAGCAGATGCAACAAAAAGCTGTAAAATTTGTTACTAGAAATAAGAAACAGCTGGAGAAACATTTTTGTAACAAATTAGGTTAATTGGCAATGTGTCAATAAAAGAATTGGGTAAAAAAAATAGTATTTTTGAGATGCAAATTCTCTAAAAAGTAAAGATGAGCAGAGGTTCACCATGTTAAAATATTTGCATTTTAAAACTAGGAACAATTTCAGAATACAGTTCTTTGTCTGAAAATTGGGGAAATTTGGAATATCTCATGGACTGAGGCAAGGAGAAAAACTCCAAATTTATTTACATTTTCACATAATGCCTCAAAATAGTCTATATCAAGCTATAAAACTTTATTGGCTTCTTACCTGTACATTCCAATCATTTGGGGCTATTATCCCATAGTTCATCAGCACAAATGAGTACCGGCCTCCAGAAATCAAGACTGCCTGGACTGTTGTTTTCTGAAAGAAGCAATCAAATCTCATTGTTTTTACAGTTTAAGGTAAAACACACATCATAAATTTCCTCAGTTTGAACAAGATGACTTACTGTTCCAGTGTTTGGATAGTAAGCCACCTCATACCAAGTTGCCACTAAAACCCAGCTRGCAGTAAAGGTAAATTCTGGGAAGTATTCATTAATGTCCTGTGTTGCTTGTTCCAGGATGCTGCCACTTGTGAACTGGTTGTAGTAAACCAGACCATTGACTCTGTTGTCAAAGTTTGTCCAGAATGGTGCAATAAAATCCATAGTTCCATACAATGGAATTGTTTGAGGAGAAGATGAAAACCATGGACCAGTAAAAGTCAAGTGTCCATTATTGTTCACCTAAAAATAAGACAAAGCAAAATGAGCTTTGGCATAGCAGCTATTTACTAGTGTAAAATATGAAGTATGTTTTACATACAAAAGTCTGATTGTAGGATGTTCCAAAATAGACAAAAGGTTGTTGAAGGATAGTTTGAGAACTTCCATTAAGGGATCGTTCAGTTGTGTTTCCAGAAATTGGATACAGAGGTCCTGTCGATTTCAATCAACAAAATAATTATTAGAAACAAACAAACAAACTTTAGGTTGCTTGGTTGCTGTTTACTTAGATGTTATAAACTGGTATTTACAGTATATAGCACAACCTTAAGAATAGTTTTGAAAATCTGCAGTCTAGTATTCAACACTATACAAAAATTTTCATTTCACCTTTGGCTATTGTATATAGATAATTTTAAAAAGGTTTAAGCACCATCAACAGGCCTTTGTTTGTCCTAAAACACCTAAAGTTACACAACAGTGTTTGTTTTAGTACGATCATGTGGATCAAGTACAGCTGAGCTGATCACAGTGTAAACTGAACGTGGCTGCATAGTGTGGCAGGTTAGCATTGCTTCCTTAAAGGAAAAAAATGGTTCAAAACTCAGGTGAGGCCTTTATGTGGAATGATTGCATGTTCTCCCGGTGGATGCACTGGTTTTCTTGGGATACTCTGGTTTTAATCCAGCTTCCAAAAACTTCAGTTTGATTAATTGTTGAGTCTAAATTGGCTTTTGGGGTCAGTCTGAGCCTGTCTGAGTTTATGAGTCTATGTGGCCCTCTGGATGGATGGATGGATGGATGGATGGATGGATGGATGGATGGATGGATGGATGGATGGATGGAT